CTGATAGAGTAACAAAGAATTTATGGCCAGTTATTTAAACCCCCAGTGAAGGAAGCTGGCATATGATGCCACATTTCATTTGAGAAGTGAGGAAACAGGCCCAGCAAGTGTCCAGAGTGTTCCCAGGGCACACACAGGTGGAAGAGGATAATGGGAATCAGGGTTTGACATTGGGCTCTGCATCCAGTCCTTGGTCAGAGGAACAGGTTATTTCAGTTAGCAAGTACCATGATGACGTGTAATAAAATGCCTTAAATGCTGTGATTTATAAAAGCCATTCTTTTTTTTTTTTTTCTTAAATGTACTGGAGTTTGAACTCAGGGCATCAAGTGTTCTAGGCAAGCGCTCTACCACTTGAGCCACACCTGCAGTCCTGTAAGAGCCATTCTTGCCATGCATGTGTCTATAGGCTGTGGGGTAGCTGATCTAGGGGAACTCTGGGCTCTTGCTGGAGCCGCTGGGTACTGGGACACCAGAGTTTTCTGGAAGACATGCAGAGATTGGAGTGATGCTACCACAAGTCAAGGAATGGAAAAATTGCTAGCAGCTATCAGGAGCTGTGGCCCTGTGTAGCAAACCTGATGGCCTGTTGCAAGAGCCTCTTCTCAAGTTCCTCCTGGCCACATGGGGAGTGTCAGAATTCTTACCTCTTTTCTTCCCACTGCAAGAGCCTTCTCTGTCAGCCCTCAAAAGACATGGCAGGGTTCTGAATTAGGTACAGACAGCTGATAATGTCAACAAGGACCATGCTTCTTCCAGTCCTTGTGCTCTGCCACGCTTGTGTGTTGGATTGTCATCAGGTTTGCCACCTCATGGTTCCAAGATGTCTACTGTAACTCAAGTTATAATGATTATTGTTTGTTGTTTTTTTCTTTTCCTTTAGACAGGGTCTTATTATGTATAATCCACACTAACCTTGAGCTTGCAATCTGCCTGCCTAAGCCTTCTGAATGCTGGGATTGTACGTGTGTGCCACCATGTCTGACTCAAATTATCGTGACTTCAGACTGCTGTATTGAAGGAAGGAAGAAAAGAACTGTTTTTATTCTTTTTAAATACTGTAGTTTGTCCATCTATCAGATATACTTAACCAGTGTCTTTTTGGTGTGTATTTGGGCTGTTTACAGTGTTGTGTTGATTTACACAGTGCTCCAGTCAGTGTCCTTGTACCATATGTGACTGGCCAGTTTGTGGGTCAGAAGCTTTGTTCATGTGCAGTTTTATTAAGTACTGCCAAACAGCTTTTTCATTATCCCTCTGCACAGGGCCCTTGCGGTTGTTTGAGATCTCACTGTGTGTGTTCATGGTTTCCTTTAGGTTCACAACTGTTCATATTCATGTTTTCATGTTCTCCACATGCACCGAGCTGTGCCCTCAGCCCCACAAGTACATGTGTTTATTTTGGTAGCTGTTTTAATGTATTTTTATCTGTGAATTTCATTATCTGTCATTCTGTTCTAAACTTGTTTGAAGATTAGGAGAATCATAGTATTCTTAATTTTTTTTTCTTATTTTTCTCCTCCCCTTTTCTCTGCTCCACATGGTCTCACTATATAGGCTCTGTTGGCCTCAAAATGCTCCTACCTCAGTATCAAGTTCTGGGATTACAGGTGTTAACCACCATGCCTGGCTGCAATGTAAATTATTGAGGATAAGATTGGGCAGCCTCACAAAAGTGCCTTAATGGATGAGTTCAATCTGTTCAGAAAGAGTTTTCAGTGTGGTTTTTACTTCATTAAAAAAATGATAAGCTGGTGCCGGTGGCTCACATCTGTAATCCTAGCTTTTCAGGAGGCAGAGATCAGGATGATTGTGGTTTGAAGCCAGCCCAGGCAAATAGTTCTCAAGACACTATCACAAAAAAAAACCCTTCACAAAAAAGGGCTGGTGGAGTGGCTTAAGGTGTAGGCCCTGAGTTCAAGCCCCAGTACCATTAAAAAAAAAAAAGAGAAAAAGAAAAATTGGTGGAGTTCTAGAATCTCTGAGTAAAGGTATAGATGCCAGTGAAATTTTAAGAAAATAGATGAACTTGTTTGGAACTTCAGGATTTCAGTTTGCAGTTTCCTCTTAATGAACATTAGGTCTTAATTTGTCTAGTAAGGTTTTGTAGCTTATTTTTTACCAGGTTAACCTAGGAATGTAGTAGATAGTGTATAAGAAACTTTTAGGAAGTTGAAGAAGGTAAAAATTAGGCCTTCTGTCTTTTTCTTTTTGGTGGTGATTCTGGGGTTTGAACTCAGGGCTTTGCACTTGCTAGCCAGCCACTCTATCACTTGAACCATGCCTCCAGCCCCCAAATTAGGCCTTTTAACTTAAGTGTGGTGTATCTACTTTCTCCTTTTACTGCATCTTAGCATTGTGACTTTGTATCAATTACCAGTTCCTCTGAGCTTTAGATTCCTTAATGGCAAGTTGGAAGATACAGCTATGATTAAATGTAATATAAAGGATTTATTAAACTGTTGCATAGTAAACGTTCCTTAGGTAGTAGCTATTGTTAATATTATAGACATCACATATTATGGTGGTAATCTCTTGCTTCTGAGCTAAAGAGTTGGTGTTTGTGATTTTTTTTAAATAGTAGGAGACTACACAAGTTAATATAATACAGATTTTTAAATTGTGGACAATGAAGGTATTTTGAATTTAATTCAACCATCCAAAATTTATCAAACACCAACTCTATCCTGGACACTTTGATTCAGACCTGTGTGAAAGATGTACAGTCACAATCCAGTGAGTTTCAGTGAGAAGCATGGGGACTGATATGAGAGCTCTGAATGCCCAGTGCTGCCTGGAGAGTAAGTGGTGACTGTGTCTCTGGATCTTAGGACAGGCTGCGCAGGAAGATTCTGTGTTACTTTGATCAGATTTGGAAGGAGTTTATGAATTATTTAAGGGTAGAAGGACAGAAGTAAATAGAACATGATGCAAAGTTCCTGTAGCTGGTTCATCTGCTTATTTTTATAATTGATTATTTGTGTAGGATTTTACCATTAGGGAAATTCCAAGATAATTTTGTCTGGGTAGAGAACATGGAATATTACTAACTATAAAGTGATGATTCTTTCAATGACTCTTTTGACTTATGTTTCCATTTTGTTGTATAATAGGCCAAGTAGTTGGATGATAGATTGAATGCCTTGTAATTAGTAGTGTTTTTTTTTTTGTAGCTATGGTACTGAGGGTTTGGTGTGTGTGTTTGAGTTCATATACTCAGGTCAGCAGTTGCTGGATTTCATGTTCCATAAATTTTAAATTCATAAACTCAGGTTTGGCCATAAAATGTTAAAGCCTTCTTTATATCTATGTCAAATTGGAGTCACATATTATTTACAAAGTGCTCTCAATGGTAGTATAGGTAGAATGTTTGGCATTTTATCCTCAGTAACTGCCGATTCCTTTTGGATGCAAGAATAAAATACAGACTGTCTTTGGGAATATAGAATGATTCTAAGTATAACCTATTTTTCAAATATAAATGAATTTAGGACTATTGTTTGGAGAATGTTTTATGAATTGAGAAGGGAGGCAACATGAAGGTAACTGGGTAGAAAGTAAGTTGTCTTTGTAGATCTCTTCATGATCAAAGAATAATATATTTAGCAGGTAGATTATATGCTCAGCTGTTTCTGAAAAGAGATTCCTTTTTTATTAAAATCTCTGCCATGCCCCACCACTGACGAATGGATTAAGAAAATGTGGTATCTATACACAATGGAATTTTATGCAGCCATGAAGAAGAACGAAATGTTATCATTCTCTGGTAAATGGATGGAATTGGAGAACAACATTCTGAGTGAGGATAGCCTGGCCCAAAAGACCAAAAATCATATGTTCTCCCTCATATGTGGACATTAGATCAAGGGCAAACACAACAATGGGATTAGACTATGAGCACATGATAAAAGCGAGAGCACACAAGGGAGGGGTGAGGATAGGTAAGACACCTAAAAAATTAGCTAGCATTTGCTGCCCTTAACACAGAGAAACTAAAGCAGATATCTTAAATGCAACTGAGGCCAATAGGAAAAGGGGAACAGGTACTAGAGAAAAGGTTAGATCAAAAAGAATTAACCTAGAAGGTAACACCCACGCACAGGAAATCAATGTGAGTCAGCTCCCTGTATAGCTATCCTTATCTCAACCAGCAAAAACCCTTGTCCCATCCTGTTATTGCTTATACTCTCTCTACAACAAAATTAGAAATAAGGGCAAAATAGTTTCTGCTGGGTATTGAGGGGGTGGGAGGAAGAGGGAGAGGGTGGAGTGGGTGGTAAGGGAGGGGGTGGGGGCAGGAGGGAGAAATGAACCAAGCCTTGTATACACATATGAATAATAAAAAAAAATAAAATCTCTGCCAATATATATTTTAAAAACATGAATAGTTTTTTCTTCCTGAGGCAGTTCTTTGGCTTTAGGCTTAAGCAATATGTTAAACTATGTTTATGTAATGTATATTTAATTAACTTCTCATTGGTTCATAAATTCTAATTTGGTGACAGAATGGTTTACTTTTTTTTTTTTTTTGCCTATTTAGGCTAGGCTGTTCTCGAACTCCTGATCCTCTTGCATCTACCTCCTGAGTGTTGACAGTACAGGTGTGCACCATCAGGCCTGACCAGAATGCTTTACTTTTGTCACATGTGTACAGTGTAGGGGTTTGTACTTTTCCTTTCAGGTGGGAAAAGGTTGGTACAATTTCTAATGCATATCTTGGCTGTTGCAGCTCTTCAGTAGAGATTTCTTGAGTAAATGAATGCACTAGACTCTTTGATGCAGTTCTTTATGCAATACCCAGAATAACTGAAGCACTAACATGGAGAAGTTAAAGTTATCTTTATGTTCTCCAAGAAGAAAATCTTAATGGAATTATTATTATTACTATTATTACTATTTTAAGTAATTGTGAATTTGCCCCTGAGAAGTTTTCTTCCTGAGATTTAAAAGTGGGGAAATTTTTTTTATTGTGGTTAATACTTCTTTTTCTTCTTTTGTAGGTATGGCCTCACAAGTCTTGGTCTACCCACCATATGTTTATCAAACTCAGTCAAGTGCCTTTTGTAGTGTGAAGAAACTCAAAGTAGAGCCAAGCAGTTGTGTTTTCCAGGAAAGAAACTATCCACGGACCTATGTGAATGGTAGAAACTTTGGAAATTCTCATCTTCCCGCTAAGGGTAGTGCTTTTCAAACAAAGATACCGTTTAATAGACCTCGAGGACACAACTTTTCATTGCAGACAAGTGCTGTTGTTTTAAAAAACACTGCAGGTGCTACAAAGGTGATAGCGGCTCAAGTGCAGCAAGCACGAGTGGAGGCACCGCAGGTTGGGGCGTGGAGAACCAGGTTACATTTCTTAGAAGGCCCCCAACGATGTGGATTGAAGCGCAAGAGTGAGGAGCTGGATAATCATAGCAGCGCAATGCAGATTGTCGACGAACTGTCCATACTTCCTGCAATGTTGCAAACCAATATGGGAAATCCAGTGACGGTTGTGACAACTACAACAGGATCCAAACAGAATTGCACCACGGGAGAAGGCGACTATCAGTTAGTACAGCACGAAGTCTTATGCTCCATAAAAAACACCTATGAAGTCCTTGATTTTCTTGGTCGAGGCACTTTTGGCCAGGTTGTTAAATGCTGGAAAAGAGGGACAAATGAAATTGTAGCAATCAAAATCTTGAAGAATCACCCTTCTTATGCACGCCAAGGTCAAATAGAAGTGAGCATACTGGCAAGGCTCAGTACTGAAAATGCTGATGAATATAATTTTGTCCGAGCTTACGAATGCTTTCAGCACCGTAACCATACTTGCTTAGTCTTTGAGATGCTGGAACAAAACTTGTATGACTTTTTGAAACAAAACAAATTCAGTCCCCTGCCACTAAAAGTGATTCGGCCCATTCTTCAACAAGTAGCAACTGCACTGAAAAAATTAAAAAGTCTTGGTTTAATTCATGCTGACCTCAAACCAGAGAATATTATGTTGGTAGATCCTGTTCGGCAGCCATACAGGGTTAAGGTAATAGATTTTGGGTCGGCCAGTCATGTGTCAAAGACTGTTTGTTCAACATACCTACAATCACGGTACTACAGGTAAATGTCAAGTACTTTTTGGCTATATAATAAATGTTGAATGTCTGCTAAATGAAATAATTTTGTACATGTATGTTGTGAATGAGTCTGTTTCAGTTAAATAAGGAAATCAAGATCAGTGTAGGTTTGAGGTTTTAAAAATATTTGAAAAGTCGAGGCGTAAAATTGGTCCAAGGAAATAGAAATCTCCACTAGTTCTGTGTTAAAGATACCTGGCTGTTTTCATTGTTAGTAGAAAACAAGAAGGAATGATATATGACTGATGATTAAACAGAAGTCTTTAAATGTTGGAAAAGTTTATTTATAGTAATTTCTTAACATATCTTTGGACATTTCAGCACTTTGGAGTAGTAGTTCATTTAATGACATAATATGAAACTGAGCATTTAGAAAAATTGTAAGAATTCAGAAAATTGTTCTGAATTTTTTTCTACATACATGCTGTGAATAATGCTATTTTGGTGTTGGTGCTGTGGTGGGATTTGAAGAAGAAAATTTCTGTGTAAATGCTGATGAAGACTAGAGGGCCATGATCATTGGAACGTGACCCTGAGGTGTGTTGGCTGAGGGGCTAGCTAATAGTTACCAAGGCTTGAAATAGCAAAGGTTCCCTGTGAAGACGAAAATGTTCTAAAGTTCATAGTTTAATGATTTTGAGAATAAATGATCTTTATTTCCACTGGAGTGAATTTACGGTCTTGGTATAGGCTTTAGCTTCATGATCTCCAGCACGGTGGGGCAAATACAGCAGCAATATTGGCAGTGATCTTGATCATTCAGAAGTTACTGAATAGGAGAACACATGGCAACTTAGTGTTAGAAATTGTTAGAACATGAGAATTATAAATTTTGGCTCACCAAGGAAGTATTTTCTGATCTAGCATCTGTTCTTGCACTATTTCTGGTTACACTGATTAGCCTTCTTGCAAATTTATGCTGTAGTATCCTGGAAAAAATAAAGGAGAAATTAATTAGCTACTACAAAAATCAACTCTAAATATATGCCCTGCTCTCAAAGGAACCTCATGTTTGTGTCACTTAGTGATAATTAAGTTCATTAAAATATATATTGGGCTGGGTGCCAGTGGCTCATGCCTGTAATCCTAGTTTTTGAGGAGGCAGAGATCAGGAGGATAGTGGTTCGAAGCCAGCCTGGGCAAATAGTTTGTGAGACCCTGTCTTGAAAAAACCCTTCACAAAAACAGGGCTGGTGGAGTGGCTCAAGGTGAAGACCCTGACTTCAAATCCCAGTACTGCAATATATATATATATATACACACACATACACATGTATGTAGATGTATATATGTGTATATCTGTATCTATATATCTGTATATGAATTAGCAATATAGCCTGATTTAGCCTTAGTATATCCTGGATTATATGGATTTTAGTTTTAGAGTGCTAGGTACAATTCTAAGAACTTTTTAGGTAGTGTAAAAGGTAACTTGCAGCTGGGTGCTGTGGCTGATACCTGCAATCCTAGCTACTTGGGAGGCAGAGATTGGAAGGATTAGGGTTCACGATCAGCCAGGGCAAAAAGCTTGAGAGATACCATCTCAACTAATAAAAAGTTAATGGTGTGTGCCTGTCACCCCAGCTACCCAGGAAGGGTAATTTAGGGGGATTGCAGTCCAGGACAGCCTGAGCATAAATTTGAGACCCTATCTCTAAAATAACCAAAGAAAAATGGTTGGGGCTGGCTCAGGTGGTAGAGCACCGGCCTAGTAAGCACGAGGCCTTGAGTTCAACCCTGAGAAACACTGGAAAAAAAAAAAAAAGTAACTTGTAGTAAGGGAGAAGATCTTAGATCCTTTGTGCTCCTGACAATTTTTTCTAATTTAACAACGCGTAAGATTAGCTTTCATTTAGGAAAAATCATTTAAAATCTTATTTAGTTGCATGAAAAGAATAGTGCTTTCTTTTTTTCCTTTTCTTTGTACATTATAGATTGCATCTTAAGAGCTTTTAAAAGTCAGCTAGCATATTATATAAACTTCCAGCTCCAGCTGCTTGTCCTATATTTAGTTCACTTGTTAGTAAATGACTTCACTTTATTTGGGTCCTGTGTTATTCTCCATATCGGATTTAGTGTTGTGTGATACCTTCTTTTATTTGAAATCTTTTGGATGAGAATTTTTAAAAAGCCTTATTTTTTTTTTAATACTTGAAAATGTCTGTTGGTTTATTAAATGTTTCAAGAGAGCAAAGGAATTCCTTTAAAAAGCATTCTGAAATACTGAATATTTTATAATACTGCTTTCTGTTATTAGGCTTTTGCATAAATATTAGCCTGTGTGTTGGGAATGCACAAAAGCTATGAATGATCGCTAGGTATAATTATTTTCTGTTCTGTGTGTATATATAAATTTCAGGTAAATAATTCATCCAACATCCTGAAGCTACATAGTAGCTATTTCAAATTATAGTTTCTCTCTTTAGGGTTAAAAAATGAGATTTGTATTTATTTGTAAACAAAGTCTAGTACTTGCATTTTGGATGATGTTGCTTTGATAAAAAATTGAAAATAGAATTCTGGCAATTAGATCCAAGAGGTAGAAGAGTTAGTAAGTATTAAGGTAGATAGGTAAAAATGTAGTATAGTTTAAATTAGGCAATGTTTTAATACTTAGTGTAATTTGGCATGAAGATGGCAAATAGCTATTACTTTCTTTCAGTATTTGTTTGCACTTTATGTTTTGGAACTTTGCCATTTCTGTCTTAGCTTATAACTAGGTTACTTATAAATCTGATTAGACATTAAGCACAAGGGTCTTATGCTTGACTTTCCACTCTTTGTTAAAAGGATATTGTATACTTAAATGAAAGCAGGAAGTGGAAATGTACCAAACTAAATATTTTCCAGGTAAGCACAGTCAGAACACATACCCCAATTTCCAAGGTAAGGGATTTGTATTTAAAAATAGGTTCATGTGTTATTCTGTTTCTTTGAACTGTGCAACACTAATGTAGTTGAGATATCTTAAAATAGACAGGAGAGAAGCCAGAAATTGTTGATTACTATAGATGGCGAGGCTGTCTAGCTCTTGCAGTGATAGAAGCCAGGAGTACATGCTAAGGGCATTGATTTGCTCAAGGTCAGCATGTTCTAAATTCAGCAGCTTGAGTATGGTTTCTGTCAAGAACACGTAGGGCTCATGAACGCAGAAAAGGTTTTAGTAGCTGAAGGTGCTGTGTATTTATGAGGTGTGGTGGCAACATTCAGGTCATGAAAAATTTTTTTTAAATATAGAATTTTAGCCTGTGGTTCTGAGTTATTTGAGAACATAAGAGACTGGAAAGTGGGCTGTAAAAAACCAGTTTATCAGTGATATTCTTTTCTATATTACTAATTTAGTATTAACTGCTACTGAACATGCTTTCTATGGCTAGGGGTACAGCTCAGTGGGAGAGCACTTGCCTAGCATGCACAAGACACTGGGCTCCATCCCCAGCACGGGAAAAAAGAAAAAAACCCTCCTATTATGCAAGTACAGTTACAAAATGCTACAGAATGCGGAACAATTATTTACACTTAGAGGTTTTTGTTTAGGATATACCTATTTCTCCTTCCTTCTTAGCCCATGAAGTATTTAAGGTCACGTTCCTATAATACAGTTAACACTCAGAAAGACCCATAAAATAATTGATGTTTTATATGGGGTGCTTTATAATAGAACACTAAGCCATTTTTTCATAGTACTTTAAATTTCTTATTTTCTTACTTCTCATCTTTTTGGAGTCAGGGTCTAGCTATGTAGTCAAACTGTTAAACTGGGCATTGCTTATCCATTGAGAGTACAGATGGAGTTCCTGATTTTATGGTGCTTGCAATCTGATAGGCAGACCTAAACACCAAGAAAGATAAAGTACTCTGATCTGGGAGGGAGATGAACACAAGGTGCCTTTGATCTGTGTGTTTTTTAAATTATTATTTTTTTAAATCTTTTTTACATTGAAATAATTTTAGACATATAAAAGTTAACAAAAATAGTACAAAGAATTCCTGTATACCCTTCACCCAGACTCCCCAAATGAATTAAGTGTTAACATTTTACTAGTCTGGTTTTTTTCCTTCCTGCCCTCCTTCCTTCCATCTTTTCTTCCTCCCTCCCTTCCTGCCTTTCTCCCCTCCCTTCCTTTCTCCCTTCCCTTTACTCCCTCCCTTCCCCTTCCTTCCCCTCTTTTTTTGGTACTGGAGTTTCAACTCATGCTTTCTAGGCAAGCAAGCACTCCATCATTTGAGCCATGCTCCGGTCCCTTTTTGCATTAGTTACTTTTCAGATAGAATCTTGTGGGGTTTTGTTTTGTTTTGTTTTGTTTTGCCTGGGGGCATCCTTGGACTGCCTATGTTGTCTGTATAGCTAAGATTACTGTCTGCACCACCATGCCCACCTTGTTTGTTGAGATGGGGTCCTGCTAACCTTTTGCCTGGGTTGGCATCAAACTGAGGTCCTCCCGATCTCCACCTCCTGAGTAGCTGAGATTACAGATGTATGACACCATGCTCACCCTTTCTTTACCTTATTAACCCTGACAGTTTTGAAGAGTTCTGGCCATTATTTTTGTAGAATACTCCTCATTTGGGTTTGTCTGATGTTTGTCATGATTAGATTCAGCTTATACTTTTTTTTGGCCAGAACTTCATCGAAGTAATGTTTCTTCGAGGATTGAGATGTGGATAATGTCAATTTATTCCTTATTGGTAACATTAACTTTGGTCTTTTGGTTGCGGGTCTGTGACTGCCATGTTTTTCTGCTAAAAAGTTACTTTTTCTTTGTAATTAGGAGTCTTGAAGAGAAATACTTTGGATTGTTCATGTATATTCCTACTTCTTATTTTTATCTTCACTGGCTATCTTTTGCATTTGTTGATGAATCTGGCCTTAAATAAACAGTTATGATTGAGGGTTGGCAAATGATGATTCATTCTGCTGTTAGGAATTATTCTGTAAGAAGAGCTTTTCCTTCACTGTACTTACGTCAGTGTTTTGTT